CCAGTGCTCTTTGGTTGGCAGTGAAAAATATCTGTCTTGAAATTATTTAGCAGCTTTTATGTCTTTTTATGAGATCATTGAAACCAGATTTATCTTTGAATTCCACACATGATCAGGTTTAAGAGGACTAAAAAACTGTTTTGGTTTTAGTTATCGATTACTTGTCTGCTTACGAAATGAACAGCAATGGAGGAACACAGAGCCGTTTTAATTATTTCTAAGCGAATGTCATCGAGAATTTTCAACAAATGGTGCTTAAAAGCCCGAAAATCACAGAGAAAAACAGCCTACACCTTTCCATGTTGTCCAGAGGCTACTCAAATAAGTGTAGTGGTAAGTTGCAGCTAACGACTTTACTCCTTGTCGACAAACTCAAAGATTATGCAAACCATTTAGGTAATATGTGCGTCGGTGGCACAGCGGTAGAATGTTTGCCACCCACCCAGGTTATTCGGGGATCGATCCCCGGCTGGCGTACTCCTTTACCTCGTTAAGCCAGTAATAAAAATGGAGAAAAAGGAGTAGTGAACATGAGGCTAGCAACCCCCACGCCTTAAAAATAAACACCACTGCTACAGAAACTTGAAAGCTCTAACTTGAAGCCACCCTATGTTCCACTGGGAACGTAAAGGAATAAAATTTTTTTAAATCATTTAGGTAATAAAATCCAAAATTTGGCATGGATTTTGAGGATGTCGAGTATATTCTGGAATTTACTAATGCCCATACCTTAAATGAACAAACTATCCGTGTGCTTTAAGCCATCCATCCTAATTCTAATAGTTTATTTCGTGAAACGTCAGACACATAATTATCTCTATTAGTACCTTAATTATTATTAGTCGTCCTTTGAGTTCTAAGAAGAACATATCGTCCAAGCGGCATCCCCCCCCCCCCGGCAACCAGTGCACCCGGTTCTCTGTAATCACTTTCAGCTGGGTGAAAACGGGAGGAGTAATTATTACATGAAGGATAATGAAAATTTAATGTATCTAGAAGATCAGAAAGATTGAATACATCTGTACCATTGGTGACGATTTTCAGCCATACCACCAACTGTCTCAAGCCATTGGTTTTTAGCGTCTTCAGAATTCCAGTTAGACAGTCTACACACCTATCTCTATGTGGCTCACTCCAATAGTTAGAAACTTCATGAATTGATAACAGGTTTTTATTTGACCACCCCTAAAACTTTTCTAACCTAACATTGACCGTCGAGGAAGGCGACGGTTAGGCATGTGTAACACGTATCCTAGCCACTTCACTTGGTACGGCTTCACAACCTCATCAGTTGATTTTCCTTCCTTATCTAACATTGCTTCTAGCCTTGGTATCACTCACTATATTATATCGTTTAAGGTGGAGGACAGAACACAATGACCTATGGTCAGAGGAAGTTGATCTCTTCAGATTTTCCTAAGGAAACTTTGTCAAATAACTTAGCTGTGGACGGACGTTAACAACGACTAGTTTCCCGACATGGTCCAGAGGCAGGGAGAAGAGGGAAGTTTGGGTGTGTTACTATTTATTATTATTATTATTATTCCCTTCATCGCCACATCTCCACTTCTTTCTATTTTCTTCTGTCTTCTTTAGCAGGGCCCACATAGTCTCTCATCTCCTCCTCACCACACAATCTCCTGCATGTCATCCTCGGAAGACCTTCTCTTCTCTCCTAATTCAGGTTCCACTCGAGCGATGGACGAGCGAGTGCGGAACGTCATTCGATGGTCTCTTCAGCGTATGCCCAATGCATCTCCATTTTATCCGGTATGTTTGTTGAAAAGCATGTTCTTGGTTGGTTCGTTCCCATAGTTTCTTGTTACTAATTCTTTCTGGCTGGCAGGCTATTTGATCTTCAGTATGGAGCCAAAGAAGATGACAACTGTTGATGAAAGTCCACAGTAGCCTGTTGAAATCCTTTTCATGACACGCAGTGCAAGTTTCTGACCCGTATAGAAGAATTGACTGACTTCACATTTGTTTTGAAAATCTGAATCCATCTTACTCTTTATGCTGACTGACTAAAGACGTATCTTGCCTTTCCGATTCTGGATGACCTGCTTTGATATCTCTATTCGTTACGACTGCCTGTGGTTGGAACGCTGCTTCCTAGCCGGATAAGTGAAGGAAGTAACCGCTGAATCCAGATCTTCTGGATTCTTCCTATTGGTCCAACATATTCCTGTCTTCCCACTCCGCACAGTCAGCGCATAATCCAGTCCACAACAATTAAGAAAATTATCGGAGATGAGTGTGGCAGGTAGCAACTCTATGCCTCGGAAACAATCCAAACTCCACAGAAGCTTCAAACCACGGGAAAAAAGAATAGAAATAATGTTTGACCACAGTGTGTAACTAGAAGTGAGTTAGGTAGGAGTGATGCCACAAAGAAATCTTACGTTTGTCGACATAAGGAGAAGATTTAGAACTACTTAGATAAACCATCCTTAGCAGGGAGCATCATCTGAACAGACTGAACTGTCTGACAGCTTCACAGGTAAACCAATGCATTTATATACACATACAGCGTATTATTAACAACTTACTAATGATAGCCATTTCAGTCTGCGTTCACGAATTAATTCAAAAACTCTTATACAGGGAATTACTTAAGACGTAGTTATTGGTCTCTAACTAAGGACGTTATTGAAGAAATTGAAGTGTGTTCCCGTGTTAAGGCAGCGAACGGATGTATCAGCAGCACAATTCGACCACAATCAGTAGATAATGTTTACCGGATCAAATTAGATCAAGTCATTTATATGATTTATCGTTTTCATAATGATTCATCAGGGCTGTTGAGCTTCCTGGTACTCTCCATCCCTCTCTCTGTACCTTGGGTTGTGAGGAATCAACACAAGGATCGTCTCTATCCTTATCTGACATAACACTTTCGAATTTGAAAATATAGGCGCTAGATTCGAGTCTCATGCGCAGATGTCTTAAGGGAGTAAAATTAAGACATCTGGGCATAGTCGAGGCACTAGCCATCCAAAAGCTCAAACCCACGCTATGTATCCAAAAGAAATATGTCCAACCCTTCCTTGTCCCTGTCATGGCCATCATAAACAGGTAATTCTTTTTATAGTGACTATCCCATTGCCTTTCTTATCTAAACTTCCTGTTTATTCATGTTATTTTCTTGGTTTTTCTTAATCCCTATTTACACTAACATATTTTCATATTCGAACTTCCTGTCTAATTTGTCATTTTACTGTTTCTACATATTTAATCCCTAATCGTATAAACAATTATTCGTCACATTAGTTATGATCCCACTAGATTTTTTATCCAAACATCCTGTCTATTGTTGTTATTTCTACATTTCTAACCCCCAATTACACAATCAGTGTCAATCTTCTCAGTAGTTATGATGCTACTTTGTCTGAGCTTTATCCGTCCTTCACACTGTTTATCATGGCATTTGAATTCCTAATTGTAATTCAATAGATATCTGTTAGACAGCCATTGGAATCGACCGCAGAGTATTGAATATAACTGTTTCATTTTACTTGGGGACTCCTCAGCACCCCGCATAGAATGACCTGATACGGCTGAGAGTGAGTTGACTTCAGAGTCTTCCCCTCGAAATGTTCCCATGTGGTCACCCGTCCATAACCTCTGTCTACACACAGCGAGGTTATTCCTAACAAAAGTGAAAGCGAACATCTGGCGCCGACAACCAGACTGGTGGACATATACAGGTCCATCCATGAGAACTAGAAAACCCTGATCCCAGATTCTAAAATGATCGAATGATCTGTGAACCCGTTTGGGTTACCGGCAATCATGAAGACTCTGGATCAGACTTCAAATCAAAGACTCAGGGTGTGATCGCTTAGGTAGCAAGTCCTATTCTGACGGAACATTTTACCAGAAAATTTGTTTGTGTGGCGTTTACAAAAACTCTGATCATCTGTGAGCAATTTAAGGTATTACAACAAATGCTTATAAGTGTACTAATAGATGCGATTGGAGATTTAAAAGGTGATCAATAAATAACACGATGATTACGTAACATTTCGATTGTGTAACTAGTTAAAATAAATAAAGTATATTATGCAATAATGAGTATATTTGAATTTTCAAGTATTGGTTTTTGTAGGGATTCAGTTTGATTGGTTGGAAGATTTCATCATGAGCTGACATCAATTAGAAAACCTGGGAGTACTGGACAGCTGTTTCGTCCTAGTTTAGGACTCTTCATCGGCACGCAACCACCGCCAGAGTTCAAACCTAGGATCTTTTGGTTACAAGGTGAACTAGCTCGTAGACCACTAGGACCCAATCCGATGGCTCATGAATTCTAGAAGTTATAGGTGGAACACTCTCTGAAATAATGTCGCTTTAATCCTCATATATCGTCAAAACGTCCATACTCGGAGCCGCAGCATGTCAACAGAGACTGCACATCTGGGTTTAACAGAATCAATCAACGGGGAACACAACAGTTACCTCAAACAATCAGCATATGCCTAATGAATATGCCTATCATAAATTTCACACTTTAATCTAACCTTTCATTACTTCGCTTCATTGATTTTTTTATTGGTAGACCTTTTCAATACGTTAATTACACTATTACTATAATTGCCTTTCCACTTTTACGACTATTTAACTAATAAGGCATCTACGCCTGCAAGGTCATCTGTATTATTAACCAATCAAGTGATAAACGAAATTAAAGCACACATGACTTTGATTTGACAGTTCAACAGACTAACTAAGTGTTACCAAAGCAACGGGTTTGTTTAACTTTAGCGAAAAATAACTCGACTTCTTTGTTATTTAAGTGGTAATTCACACATGTTCTCATATATGGTTAAATCACTTTCTCTCATACTCAAGGAAAGCGCTCACTGTGAACTTCGTTCACATATGTATTCATTGGAAATTGAGCAAAATAAAAGGCGCGCCTGTTTCAAATACTTATTTTTTTAATTTCATAAATACACTACTTACAATAGAACAGTAGGCAAAACGATTTGAATGTAAATATTTTCGATACACAAAAAGGTTTGTTTTTTTTAAAGTTTTTTTGCCATAATATGAATAAGGTGAGTTGTTTAAAATTGATTAGGAAAGACTTTGGAATAGTTTTCGTGTGTTTATTTTTTGTGTCGGGGAGAGGGAAAGAGGCGGCTGGGGAGGGGTAAATTTGAGCATAATGATGTTGAGGATAATACGTTTTAAGAGTTGATTGAGGTGGGAAGATTATGTTGCATTTGTATTCAACATATATGTGTATTTAACTGAGATAGATAGATAGATAGATAAAATCAAGTTCTCCACACACAACCACACACACACAAACAGAGAGAAAAATTGTGTCTATAAAACTGTGACTGTCTTTTTATAAAGATTATTTTATTCATTTACACAAATGTGAAAATTGTCGAGAGAATATGATTTTAACTGTATACACACAAAATTTATTTTCATAATAATAGGAATACTAACAATAGTAGTAATAATAGTAATAATAATAAAAATGCTTTGAGTAATAGAATCAACTCAGCTTAACTCAACTCAACTCAGGACAACACATATACACTTAATGAGTTGATTCTACACTCTTCTAGTTTACTTCGATTCTGTCGCTTTCTATTCACCAAGGCGTGTGTATTACAGTTTAATAAGGGTTAGGAGAGGTTATTTAACTTTCTGATCCATTCATATGAATTTTATTGTCTGATTTTCTTGGAAGATCATGAGGTAGGATATCTACAGGAGTTGTTGTTGTAAAATTTTCAACAGGATAACTTCGTGCAGAATTTGTCATTAATTGTTCAAGCAGTTGCTGCTGCTGTTGTTGTTGCTGTTGTTGTTCCTTATGATGAGGATATGGTCGTGTCTGTAGATAAGTTGGATAATCTGATGTATACAAGATGGATTGTGTTGATGGTTGATTTGTATAATTACTACTGTGTATCTGTTTATCACTTGGTGTCGATGTCAGTAACGATGATGAATTATTTGAATTCATTAAATTCGATTGCCATGCAAGAACAGGATTAATTGTCAATGTATTATTCATTGGATTTATTGTCTGTGTCCATTGCATAGTCAACGGGGGGATAGTTGCAGATGTCTGAAAGATGCCTCCGTTTGGCTTACCTCCTCCTCCTCCCACACCGGCTAAATCATTTCTATTCACCTGTTGTGTACCACCACCATTCATGGGGAATAAAGATTGTGCAGCTAAATTAAGAAATGACTGTGCTGTACTTGGATTCAGTGTGATATTCTCTGGCATTGCAGACTTTAGACAGCATCTTTCACTGGTGAATGCTTCCAATGGTCTAGGTACATCATATTCATGACTACCAGCACCACCTGAATAGGTATATTCTGGCATAGGCCAGTAGGCTGGATTTGGCGGTGGTGTAGAATTCGCTTCTAGTCGTGGTGTTGGTACACTGGTAAGCAGTAACGCCTGTGGGATATTTGGTCGTCGAGTGGATATTGTTGTTGAACTAAACTGGGATGCTAAAGGACTGCCTATCGACGAAGTTAATCCCATATCAGCAAATGTAGTACAGGTTGTTTCCTGTATATCCGCATGTTGTAACAATTTCGCGTCTAAACCATTCCCATTCTGACTGGAACGATGCGATAGAGTGTTATGATTCATCATTGCCTGACGGTTACCTCCACTTAACAGGAGATTAGTGTTATTATTATGATTATGATTATTGTTATTATTAGGATTGTGATTTATCCATGAAAACCATTTACCACTATTTGATCGTAAATTCGACTTACGTATACTTTTCACTGACATATGATTATTAATTTGACAAAACCATGAGAGACAATTTGTTGCCAGATACAATAATGCCAGTGTAGAGATAAATGTTCCAACAACTGCTCCTAATAATTCTAATAATGTAAATCTTTTAATAAATAAATAACTATAGCTGTCTTGTTTCCCTTCTTGAAGAGAATTTGTTGCCATCTGTGAGGTTGTTGTCATTGTTGGCGGTGAATTTGCATCATTCTCAACTTTTGACCCTTGTTGTTGTTGTGGTTGAGCATTACTCACAGCGGATGATCCACTGATCATTCCTGGACTGATAAATTCAGGTGATCTCAGTGGACCAGATACACGTACAGTGACTTCATGAATTCGATAATGTTGTAATCGATCCGGCTGGTTACTATCACTTGTTGGAACAATAAGTGATGTAGGTTTCAGTTTATCTGTAATACTGTCTAAAGAAGCCGATGATGAACTGTCGGCGGCTAGTAGTGATGTCGATGACGGGGGATCTTTATCATTATTCCATATTGTACAAGTGAAATTTTTTATATTCACTGAATTCAAGCTTACATTCAGTGCTAGTTTACGTTCAATTAATTTATTATTTTTTGCAGTATCTAAAGATAAAGATTTATCTACAGATTGTAAAAAATATTGATCATTGAATGTTTGCTGTTTAATAGATGCATCTAAAATTTGTTGTACTTTTTGTCCGTGTATTTTATATGTCCATGCAAGACTTGGTGTTGGTCGACCTCGTCCAATACATGTCAACTGAGCGAGATCAGCACTTGGTGTTAATAGATTGATTTCAATTCCTGTTATACTTGGCAGTGGACAAAAATACTCCCAACTACGTGGTAATCGTTTACCAGCTAATGAAGGCGGTTGAGCACATGTCATATTCAAATGTTGCATAATACGAATAGATGATTCACTTGGTGAAACTGGCCAATCAGAAGCATCCATTTGAAGGTCATTGTTATTGTTGTTATTATTGGTTAATTCTTTACTATTCATATATTGATAAGCATCGTACGATTGACTTTCACTAAGTCTTGATAACCACACCAGTTGACAGTTACAGTTTAAAGGATTGTTGCTTAAATCTAAATAACCAAGAATAGGTGAATGAGAGGAGGATGACAGCCTTCCAGATGAATGATAACTTTTCAATTTTGACGAGTCGATAACAAGCTCAGCGAATTGTGGATCTAGCCAAGTCAATTTGTTATCGGACAGACTTAACTGTTTTGGTTTAGCTTCAGCGATCGTCTCATAATCCACAGTGGTTAAATCACAATTTCTAGCAGCTAAATGAAATACTCTAGCCCCGTGAAATGATGCCTTGTCGAAGCGAATACCTTTATTATCAGTTAAGGAGAGCAGTTTCAACGAAGGTCCAGCGAATGCTTCTGGTCGGATAGTAATTATATGATTCTTTGATAGGTCAAGGATACGTAAATGTTCCATAGCTGAAAAAGTGTGTGTATCGATTTCTTTCAAAGCGAAATTACTTATCTGAAGGTAGGTCAGCGTCTCTAAACCGGTTAGATTATCACGTGTCAGTATACCATTGTGCTGATTTAATTCATTCATACCAGATATTGTCAATTTGGCGACTTTTGCGGGTATTTCATTCTTTGGTATCGGTAAGGCAGGGATAGCTGATTGACAAAAGAGGACGGGGCGATCATTTTCTGTTAATTGGAGGCAAGCTTTGACCAGTGATGATCCAGGGATGCTGAGAAGAAGTAGAAGAATGAGGTATACGGTGGAGGGAAGTTGAGGAAAGTTCTGGAGGCTTTTAGATTTCATATCTGTCGTATCTTTGTATTCTTCTCTAGGTGTATATATAATCTGTAGACAAAATAAAGAGAGAAAACATACGAAAACTTGTTACATAATCGGTAATAATCATAGTAATAATAGTAGCAATAATAATAGAAAACCTTTACAAATCAACACTTTAAAACTAATCCGATGCTCCCTAGTGATTAACTATGGGGTGGAGGCATTAACTGAGTTTGATGTGAGAACAAATACTTGCCGATACTAGCAACTTACAGGTCTCACATTGGCAGAAGTTAGAATTACAAAATCATTTGTTTTTGTCCCCCTGGCTGAGCGGTCAACGGAATGGTCTTGTAACATGAAGGTCCTAAATTTGATCTCCAGTGTGGTCATTGGTGTGTATCGTTGAAGAGTCGTAAATGAAGACGAAAAAGATACTGGTAGAGTGTTACTCACCAACCGTTCGCGTCTACACATGACTATGGATGAGTCTAATAGGAGTTACACAGTCTCTTCCAGGTAAGTTTTGTTCACCACCTTCACACGCCGGAGGTGTTCCTTACAAAAGCAGAGAGGCAAATGAGAAGAGCTGGCGCTTAAAACCAGATTGGTGTTTATACTGGTCTACTTAGAAGAACTGGAAAATCCAGATATCTAACAATATGTTGTACGTGGACCCCAGAATTAGAATCAGTTTTTGTCACCGACAACTTTTGGATTACAACTCCTGACCCTACCCCACTGCTCTGTGGATTAGACTTCAGGTCAAAGGCTCAAAGAGTGGCTCCCTAAGACAACCAACTATTTCGGTCTGAGCATCCAGGTAGTATCTCAGCGATTTTGTGTACTGCATCTCTTGTTGTCTACAATGTACCAAAAATTAATAACCCATATGTATTATTTAAAGAGTAATGATATCAAAACAAGTGATTCAGCGAAGAGACTCTTTTCAACGAATTTATCACCAAGCTGTACAATCGTATATATATGGTTTTCTTTTAAGAAGTTATATCCTGTGAGGGAATTGAATCATAGGTGTGAATGCGTAAAATAATAATAATGTGAAATGCAATTAAAACTAAAATGTTTGTGATTCTAATCGTAGTTAAATGTCAAGTGGCAAGGCGAATTAATGTCATATGTAGAATAATTCATAGGATGGATAGAACTTGTGAAAAGGTGTGCAATTATAAGATTAGTAGACAAATCGAATAAAATGAAAACGTTACGTAATATTGTGTGAAATGTGATAACATGGAATTTAACGTTGTAAGAAAGAAGAATTGATTTAGAATGACAAGTGGAACAAGTGAAATAATCCTGGGGACAATTAAAAGTGAGAGTAGTAATAGTAACAGTTGACGCAATAAGGAAGAGTATATAAATTGAATAGACAAAAATGAAAAAATGAAAACTTGGTAGAGCTAGAATATGATTGGAGATTACCATACTTTAGCATAGAGGGATTAAGATCATGAAAGTTGGAGAGGTTGAACGAACGTTTTCTGTACACAGAGATGTGGCTTTTCTGTTTCGATAGCCAAAGATGGCTTCAGCAATACAGATGAGTTGGGTACGTAGGGATTTGGGTAAATAACTCTTTACCTTGTAGATGACTTTGAAGGCGGAGGCTATAGAGATAGGGTGATCATTATCGACCAGATGCTCAGTGATCGCGCTTCTTATTTCTCCACTTCCACCTTTTCACTTAGCTACTGAAATCTCGGTAAGTAGAATAGGTTTCAAACCAGTGATTTAGTAGTCGACAAGCCACTAGACTAATCAATGAACCACAGCTCGACAAAAGTGACAAATCATGTTTGAATTACAAGAAAATGACACGAATCGTGAAATCCCCGGTGTTTGTGTGTTTGTCAGTGTGTTCATAGAATAGTAGCAGATGTGACAGTGAAGTTCCATCATTCTCACTTAGTATCTCCGTTCCCTAAACTGTATAGTGTACTTAAGAGTACAAGTAAAATATACTGCCCGAACCTCATACATTTATTCTCCCTCATGAATTTGAATAAAGCAAGAACAACAGTTTTTGCAGAATAAGATGGTACCATCATTGCTTATTTCGCTGGCTTTTCATCAGTTCACCTGCTTACAGCCTAAATAAACTGTTATTAAGTTTATATACACAAAAATATTTTAAAATACTTGGAAATTTTACATGTTATCAGTTGACAGAAGGTTTCGAACTTAGTATACAGTGCTCTGAAAATTACGCTTATATAGTTTTTACACAGACAGTTCAAGTTTAAACAAAGTAGATGTATGCATACAATGGTAAAGGAGTTACGTAATAAAGACGAGAGGTGTGTTAGATGCTGAGTGACTAATAAATTAGTTAACAATGTACTGGGTTCAACTCAAGTCATAGAAACAAGGGACAAGCAAAATTACACTATATCAAGGAGGGCGGTGAGATTAAAGCCAAAGATTACGTAACCAAATAAAAGAAGGGATGAAGACACCCAGTTACCAGGTGGGCGAGGAAAAACTCACAATAAATGCTTCTTTCTGAACACATGAAAACGAGTTTCAGGCGTTTGATGGAGATGGCTTCGAAAAACTTAAGGAGAATCGAGCTGTTTTGTCTACTGGTAATTTTGAAGAATTTCGCGATGTCCACCTCATAACCCGTAAATCAAAGAGATACCTAACGATGTGGTACTAGTGAAAGCGGTTATTCCCTTAAGATACATACTTTTTGGTATATGTTGAGAAAATCGGAGGTGTGCCCTTCTTTCTGTTCTCCCGATGGAACTACTGCAGCGGATACACGTAAATCTGTATACGCAGTTGGAGTTAACATGAGAAGGGTATCTATCGATTTTTGACTGTACTGATAGAAAGCAAAGTTATCTATCACAACACACTACACACCTGCCGGAATTTTTGGCTGAATCTATATATAACTTTTTTTAAAATTTTTGATAATAGTTTGAAACAACACAGTATTATGATACAAGTATGGAATTTTCAGCATGTGATATCGGTAGCCTAAATTTTGCACGCCAACTATTGATATCAGGTGTGCATCGGGAGGGGATCGAAACCCGGACCATGTGCATGATCGGCGAGAGTCCTAACCGCTGTTCCACAGACGCACTAACTATCCGTGTATAATACATTTACTAGTCATTGAGAAGCACTCCTTATGAGACAACTGATCATATTACCTAGCGTCACTAACACTGATGGGTGAAGAATATGCTTCGAACACTCAGTCCACTAAGTGGATCAGTACATAATAAATAAGAACAAACACTCTTCTCATGGATTTCACTGAGAGCTACTTTCAAACAAGTAATATACAGTAGAAATTATCATCTAAAATCCATTGAAACGAGAATGCCATAATCTCATGGAAACTGATAACGTCTCAATACACAGAATCAGAAGCCGTGCATAAACAGCTCAGTTACGCATCATTTTATTTGCGTTCACTTGTGTCTAGATATACCATCTTCAGCTCTGACTTCCGAAAGAAGTCTCCGGGAAACAAATGATGTCGTAAATTCATGAAGAATTCTAAGACAGTCGTTTCCTATTGTAGTTAGCACTGCATATGTAGTCTGGAATGACAATGAAAGCTTCATAGTTAAGCCATCTACCTCAGAGAACACGAAACTACACCAGATATCTGAGTGAGTTTCAGAGTAGAAATTTGCGCAAAATGTGCATCACTTAAAGTTCCTATACTTCACACAGTCCACAAAGTTAGAGAGAAGACATGTACGGGAGAAAGAATAGTAAAAAAGGACTCAAACAGAGTGAGTGTATCTGCTATATTGAGATAAACTTTGACCCATATCACCAATAGTCCCTAGTCACTGGTTCTTAGGAGAATTGGAAAACTCTGATTTCTAGCAGTATGGTATACATGAACTTTCAAAAGGCCTTCAGCAGACAGGGTCGATCGAGAGGTGATCTGGAAACTAATTCGCTACTACGGGGTGTCGTCAACAAGTATACATCTCATCCAGCAGTTGAACGGCAATGTTGCATGCCAAGTAATCTATAACGGGAAACTCACTGAATCCTTCGAAGTGAAGACAGGAGTAAGACAAGGTTGGCTGGCTGCCTACTATATCCAATGATTTTCCTGATTTCGGTAGACTGAACAATGCGACAGACAGCGAGCAACGAGGAAACAGGCATAAAATGGACCCACACAAAAAACTCACGAGGATCTGGACTTTGCCGATGAAATATGTTTGATTTCCCACAAACTGGAAGACATGAAAGTGAAAAGCAACAAGTTGGTGGTAGGAGAAGCATCAAATATAGGAGGGATTTCAGGTGGACATGGAGAAAACAGAGGTGATGAAGATTCGTGGCCAACAGCAACAACAATCAGTATAGATAGGAGGAATCTGAAAGAAGCAACCTCCTTCATCTACCCGCCTATCTACCTGGGAAGCATCGTTTCACCTAGAGGTGGACGGAACTGATAAGGGTATCAAAGCGAGGATCGGGAAAGCAAGGTAAGCTTTCATCTCTCTCAAGTCTGTATGGAGATCAACAGCACTCCTCAGCATGAAAATTAACATCCGGATTTTCAACTCCAATGAGAGGTCAGTGCTACTCATTACACGGATCAGAGACTTGGCGCTGCACCGCGTCACGAGGGGCATTTCGGACAAACTACCCAACTTCATCAACAGCTCTCGTCGCTCAATACCACTTAAGATCAAATGGCCGGCCAGAAAAGATCAGCAACAGGGAGGGATCTCTGAAAATGAACGGACCAACCCAACAGGAACCGACCGTACAGCAAATATGCAGGAAGAAATGGGGGTGTGGATTGGATTTGCCATACTCAGAGAAAACAAACTATCAGCTTACATAACTGGAAGACGGTGTCTCGGCATGCGCAACATGTCTGCTAGCCAACCTCAAAACTTTATTCATTGACTTTTCCCCCTTACTGAACATTCTTACGTCTAACCCCAATATTCGTCATTATATTATACCACTTAACACGGAAGATACAGTGCAAATATCTGTGGTCAAATACAAGTAGTTCTTTTATCCCATCTACCATTTCAAAAAGT